AAGGGCTTTGTATGTTAGGAGAAGGATTTTAAATTCTATTCTGGATTTTACAGGGAGCCAGTGGAGAGAAGCTAATATAGGAGAGATATGATAATATAATAATAATAATAATAATAAACTTTATTTATATAGCATCCTACAACTCGAGAGCCCAGAGTGCTGCACAGTAAAACAAACATCTGCCAAGTAAAACCATGCTAAAAAATAATAGACCATAATAGACAATGTGCATAAATATACAGCTCACCCCAGCTTTACCGAAGCAGTAAAAAACATAAACAGAATAAAAACAGGTATACAAAACAAAGTTATAAAAGTTCCATACAGAGATGGAGATAACACAACAAAGCAACAAAGGAGGTGAAAACAGCCTAAACATCAAAGCCTGTTTAAAAAAATACGTTTTTAGGGCCGACTTGAAAACCGCTAGCTCAGTCTTAGATCATACCTCTAAGGGAAGAGAATTCCAAAGTCTGGGGCCATATACTGCAAACGACCAGTTGCCCCATTTTTTTATATCTAGAACGCGAACCAGCTAGGGACAAGTGTTCTGAGGAGCGAAGGGCTCTATGCGGCACATAAATTGACAGCAGGTCAGACAAGTATGGCGGAGCGAGGCCATGGATAGCCTTAAAAACAAACACCAGCATCTTAAATTTAAGTCTATATTGAATTGGAAGCCAGTGCAAGGAGCGAAGAACTGGGGTGATGTGGACATAACTAGGAGAGTTAGATAACAGCCGGGCGGCTGCATTTTGGACTAATTGAAGTTTATGAAGCAAAGCCTGTGATACCCCAACATAAAGTGCATTACAGTAGTCCAACCGTGAAGTAATAAAAGCATGGATGGCTTTGTCTAAATCGGCATGTGACAAAAAAGGTTTCGCCTTGGTTAAAAGTCTTAAATGAAAGAAGCTGGTCTTAACCACAGCCCTGATCTGCTTATCGAAAGTAAAACCACTGTCAAATATTATTCCAAGGTTTTTCACTGTCTCTGAAAGTGGGAGGGCTGAGACATCTAGGCTTACTGTGCCCATGGTTGGATCGGGGCAGAAAAGAATACATTCAGTTTTACTTTCATTTAGAGGAAATTTTGAGCCAGCCATTACTTGACATCCTGAATGCAATTATGCAACGGAGTTAGTGAATTTAAGTCGGACACAATCAGTCGCATTTAAATCTGGATATCGTCCACATAAAAATGAAAATGACCATTATGGCTGGATAAGATTGCCACAAGATCTCTCTTGCTAGTTCCTGTCAGTACTCTGGCTGCAGCATTTTGGATTAACTGGAGGCTTTTTAGGGAATTATTGGGACATCCTGATAGTAAAGAGTTACAGTAGTCCAGCCTGGAAGGAACAAATGCATGGACCAGTTTTTCAGCATCACTTTGAGACAGGATGCTCCTGATTATCACAATATTGCGCAGGTGAAAGAAGGCAGTTCTAGAGACTTGGTTTATATGTGATTTAAAGGACATATTCTGATCAAAGATGACTCCAAGGTTCCTCACAGTAGTACTGGAGGCAAGAGCTATGTCATCTAGAGTAACTATATGATTAGACAGCAGATTTCTAAGGTTTTCAGGCCCAAGCACAATAACTTCAGTTTTGTCAGAGTTTAGAAGTAAGACGTTGCAGGTCACCCAGGCCTTTATGTCTTTAAGACATGCTTGAAGTTTGACCAGCTGACCTGATTCATTTGGCTTCATAGATAAATATAACTGAGTATCATCTGCATAGCAATGGAAATTTATGTTGTGCTTCCTGATAATATTGCCTAAAGGGAGCATGTATAAAGTGAAGAGAATTGGACCTAACACAGAGCCCTGTGGAACACCGTGACTAACTTCAGTTTGTGTGGAACATTCATCATTAACATGAACAAATTGAAATCTTTCAGATAAATAAGATTTGAACCAAATTAGCGCAGTTCCTTTAATCCCAATAACATGTTCAAGTCTCTGCAGTAAGATGCTGTGATCAATGGTGTCAAAAGCAGCACTGAGATCTAAGAGGACAAGTATGGAGACAAGTCCTGTGTCCGAGGCTAGGAGAAGATCATTGGTGACTTTCACCAATGCGGTTTCTGTACTATGATGGACTCTAAATCCTGACTGAAAATCCGCAAACAAATCATTCTTGTGCAAGTGGTCACATAACTGCTTTGCAACAGCTTTTTCAAGGATTTTGGAAATAAATGGGAGATTGGATATTGGTCTATAATTAGCTAGGACACCTGGGTCAAGAGTAGGCTTTTTGAGTAGAGGTTTAATTACTGCAACTTTAAAAGCCTGTGGAACATAACCTGTTAATAGAGAGAGGTTAATCAGATCTAGTATGGATGTGTTGATTAGGGGAAAGACGTCTTTGAGCAGCCTGGTCGGGATGGGGTCCAGGAGACATGTTGATGATTTAGATGAAGCAATTGTTGAGGTCAACTCAGAGAGATCTATAGGGGAGAAGTAGTCCAAGTATAAATGAGGTCTTACAGATGTTTCTAAAGCCATTGTAGTAGATGGCACATCTGCGAGAGCTGTGGGAGTGGTCCGACCAATTTTTTCTCTAATAGTTGTGATTTTATTTGTAAAGAAGCTCATGAAGTCATTGCTGCTGAGATCTAAGGGAATGTTAAGCTCAACAGCACTGTGGCTCTTTGTCAGCCTGGCTACAGTGCTGAAAAGAAACCTGGGGTTGTTCTTATTTTCCTCAATCAGTGATGAATAAAATGCGGTTCTGGCACTATGAAGGGCTTTACACAAATGCGGTGCAGGCACCAAAAACAGGAAATGAGTACGGTTACCACAGAAGTAGGAAACAGCAGTCTGTCAAAGGTTCCACAGGTCTTCCTCCGGGTCCTGTAACTCTGAGTGGCCTCTCAAGTTTGAGATTGAGGTTGCGTCAACATGCACCATGTCTTGCCTGGAATATAACCAAATCTGCCGTTTTCTATGAAGACTTATATCTCTGAAGAAAGCAGAGTTTTTCACATGAATACCCAGAGCTCTTAGGAAAAATATAAATATATATGCCTCTACAGCACATTACGCTAAGAACCAGGTTCTACAGGATACTGCAGTACCATGACTGAAACTCTTTTCAGTTTCGTACACTTATTTAGAAGAATAACTGTAGTATAAGTCAGTGCATGGTTTAACGAAGCAAACCGTGGATTGACATCATACATTTTTCTAGTTGTTAAAAAGGTGTCAGCCTATTTCTCTGTGGTAGCTCCTATACATATTTAAAAATGGCTCACAGATATTTTGTTTTATTTATTTATGTCTTAATAATGTCCAAAAACAATACTCCAACTGGAGGAATTGGTGCATTTGAAGGTGACTATTTTCAGTCATGGATCAATGATTGTTTCCAGCAGCAGGAAGACGTATATGGAATTGAGTCAAAATAAACTACACCGTGTGTTCATGGTAATGAAGGAACATGTCACCCAGTGCAACAGTGTGGTTCACTGAAGTATTTTAATAATTTCTGGACAGGAATGGAGCCTATGGCACAGATGAAGGAGATATATCAATGTTTAGATACGCACACAAGTTAACAGATTACCATTCACTGTTGGCTTTTATTGTTTCACTGGATTTATTGAAAGTGAGAAAAGATTAAATATTCTCAATGTAATCAAGCTCCAAAAAGCCTCATAAAAGTAAAATGTAGTGTTTCAATCATTTAAAGCTGTTGTGATGAGT